GCACTCCATAAATAATATCCAGTCGAACCTCTTTAGGACGAACACCAAGGGACCGATGGTATTTATTCTGTGAGTTTGTCTTAACCTATTTTATATATGTTGGACTCAGTAGAGCGTCCAGCCCCTATATGATGTCCAACCCCTATATAGAGTCCATTGGTCCAAAATCCACTGTACAGAGTCCAAACTTGGAATCAACTGTGAGCTCAAAGTTTCGATGGACATCACTCCCTGTATATAGTCCAGCCAATTGGCTTCACCCCTAGATAGAGTCCATTGGTCCAAAATCAACTGTACGGAGTCCAAGCTTTGAAATCAACTATAATTAGTACAAAGAGTCTTTATGTGGACAACATCCCCTGTATAAAGTCCAGCCAATTAGGCATCCCCTATCGAGTTCGAAAATAGACATAGGATCTGCTGTAAGCAGTGAATATTAACCAGAAAACGGCCTCTCCCTTTAAAATCCTTTACATCATTCACTTCTCAAGATAAAAAAAATATGTATTGAGGCGCCACTGCAGCCACTTCATTACATGAAAACCCTACAAACACCATCCTCAAATCAAGTGGTCTCTTCGCAGACGCTGCAAATTACAATATCTCAATCATGTAGTGTTGCCAAATTATTGTGCACGCACACACACATGCACACACCCACACAACGCCAAGAAAATACCTAGAAAAAAACCAAGAATCGAAAGAGAATAATGGAGAGCCCAGGATTAATTATTTGTTTCAAATTATTGTGCGCGCGCGCACACACACACACACACAAACTTATACAACGCCAAGAAAACACCAAGAAAAGAGTAGAGACACAATACACACGCAACTCCAACAGCCATGCAAACGTCCACCCATTTACATGTAAAGTCAAGAGGGATAACAAATAATTATACGAAACGAATGCGTACGGGGACGGGTACACGCACGTTTACATACACGTAGTAGTGTAAGAGAGTAACATAGTGCAGTGGTCAGCATAATACTAGCACATGCTGAGAGTGCAATAGCAAGCTTCACCATTGCTCATGGCCATGCAAATGTTCAGCAGCACTCAGTTCCGCAAGCTTCTGAAGATCAGCACACCTGCAACAAATAGATAGCACAAGGATACGCTTATTACCGTAACGATGCATGGGAGCACACAACTACCAAGTTCTCAACGAATGTGATGCTCAATGAAAATCAATCCACTCAAAGACCTGTGAACAGGTGATGGTGGGGACAATAATCTATTAGTAATACGAGGAATAAGATCGTTTGTGCACACTCAAGACGCACAGACACACCAACATACATGTAGTGTACACAGTGTTTCACTTCACTGCAACTAAATTGAAATGAGATGATTTGAACAATCTGTACAGCGTTGCTGTCAGTCAGTCTTCCCCAAGATGGAAATGCAATGATTTGTTGTCACGAGGCAGTTTCACTGACACAATGTCATGTTCGTGACATCAAAACGGTTACTTCAGGGAATACGAGTATTAGCTTGAGAAGCTTTTTCTCGTCATTGGCATACAAGCAATCCTCCTAGTCCTACTACTACTAGTACACTGGCACTGCGTTTGTGGATCCCATTGTATTTGACATCATACTACAGGAAGAGTGTCGTGGAGTTCACATAATTATCACAGAGATAAACTTGAATACATTTCTCATGAAATAAAATAATAATTGATGATAGCTAGACGATCATAATTATACGGTTGATGCAAAGTCCTTGCAGTCCTTGAGGACTATTACGAAGTGGTTGATTACTTTTAGGGCATTCATTCAAGCAACATCAAACAAACGCGATATGCTCCTTGAAAATGGAAAAAAAATTCAAGCATAACGACAGAACAGCAGACCAATCGAAACGAGTAAAAGCTTCCTTACCTCAGTCATCGTCCTGCCATGTAGTTGGACAGCCTTTTGACACGGTGGTACAGGCAGCTCTTGTCCAGTCAAACAGGGGTATCCTTGTGGCGTCGAACGAAAGAGAGTGTCAGTGTATCTGACTCGTCAGATTGCAACTGTGCTGAACTTTTCTCTTTCTCCGCTTTCTGCTTTCATCCCTCGCTCTGATGAAACCGTTCAAACGTCTTACTGGCAGCAATGGCCAGCCAAACAGGGGATCCTTGTGGCGTCGAACGAAAGAGAGCGTCGTGTACCTGACTCGTCAGATTTGAACTGTGCTGAACTTTTCTCGTTCTGCAATTTCTGCTTTCATCCCGCGCACTGATGAAACGTCTTCAGAGAACCACAAGACGCTTTCCAGATTTGATTTTGAACGTCTCCTTATCCTCCTTGGTTAGCTCGAGACAGATTACTGTCAGCAACTGCACAGCAGAATTGGCAGCCATGGCTGAAGTGAGGAAAGGAATGCGCTGCCACGAGGCAAGCAAAACTGAAAATGTGTTCTCTTTCGAGCACAACACACAGGACGGCGTGACTGGATAAACTGGACTCCTGGACTGTGAATCATGGTGAATAGGGGACTTGTAGAAAA